TGTTTCTCCTTTGCTAGCAAAACAATAAACCTTCTTTTTCTTTTTTCTGAAAAGTGTGTCCTCATTATTGGAGTGGCATCAGGGACAAGGACCAAGCTTTCGGCAATACATATATTTGACCTTTTTTTCCCTTAATTCTCTATATAAGTGAGACCATGTAATTTTGTTTCTTTGGCCCCTTTTCCTTAGCATAATGTCTTTCAAGTTCATCCATGACAAATGTCAAGATCTCCTCTTTTTTAAAGACAGAATAATATTCATGTGCATGTGTATGTGTGTGTGCTGTCATATTATTTCCAGTTTATTTATTTATCCACTGATTGATACTTAGATTGTTTTCATTTCTTGGCTACTTTGAATAATGCTTTAATGAACATAAGAATGCAGTTATCTTTACCAGGTGATGACTTTTATTTCCTTTGGGTATATGTCCAGAAGAGGGATCACTGAATCATATGGGTAGTTCTAATTTTTAATTACTTTAAGAACTTCCATAACGTTTTCCACAATGGCTCCACCAATCTACATTTTCATAGTATATAAGGGTTTCCTTTTCTCCACATCCTCACCAACTCCATCTATCTTCCGGCTATTTTTATAATAGCTGTCCTCATGGGGGTAAGGCGGCATCTTATTATATTTGATTTGCATTTCCCTGATAGTGATTTTGAGCAGCCTTTCATAAACCTGTTGGCCATATTTATGTCTTTGGAGAAGTATCTACTCAGGCATTTTGCCCATTTTAAAATAAAACATAGCAAAATATTTTAAATAAGAGGTGTGTGCACAGAGTTAAGCATACCTATAATTCCAGCAACTAGGGAGGCTGAGGCAGGAACAGTGCAAGTTCAAAGCCACCCTCAGCAATTTAGCAATGTCCCAAGCAACTGTCTCAAAATAAAATATAAAAATGGCTGGGGGTATGGCTTGGTGGTTAAGCAACCCTGGGTTCAATCCTTGGTACCAAGCAAAATAAAAATCAGGATATATATTTTCTTGCTGGTCTTATGCTCAGGTCTTTTATCCATCCTGAGCTGATTTTTGTGTACAATGTGAGGTTCCAATTTTATTTTGCATTTGGAAATAGGTTTCCCTGTGTCATTTATTAGACACAGTCTTTTCCAATTGTACCTTTTTGGTGCCCTTTTCAAATATTACTTGACCATGTATGCTCAGATTTATTTTTCAGCTTTTTTTTTTTGGGGGGGGCAGTGCTGGGGGTTGAACCCAGGGCCTTGTGCATGCAAGGCAAGCACTCTACAAACTGAGCTATATTGCCAGCCCCATTTTTCAGCTATTTTGTTCCACTGGTCTGTTGTCTTTCTTCCATTACCCCAGTGTTTTGATTATAATAGTTTTGTAACATACTTTTAAGTCATTTAAGTATGATGCCTCCAACTTTGTTTTTCTCTTTCAGAATTGCTATGGCTATTTAGTGTGGTTCTATGAAATTTTAGAACTTAAAAAAATGTGATATGCCATTGGGATTTAATTTTTTTAAAGTTGTAGATGGATAGCATGCCTTTATTTTATTTTTATGCAGTGCTAAGGATTGAACCCAGTGACTCACACATGCTAGGAAAGCACTCTGCTACTGAACTACAGCCCAGTCCCCCCATTGGGATTTCCATAGGGATTGTATTGAATGTGTATATTGCTAGTAGTAAGGACATTTTTTAAAAAAATATTTTTTGTAGTTGTTAATGGACCTTTATTTATTTGTCTATATGTGGTGCTGAGACCCGAACACATATGAGGCAAGTTCTCTACCAGAGCCACAACCTCGGCCCAGTATGGACATTTTTGACTATATTAATTTTTCCAATCCACAAGCACTGGACATCTTTTCATTTGTGTCCTTAATCTCTCTCATTGATATTTTAGAGTTTTCAATGTCCAAGTCTTTTACTCCCTTGGTTAAATTTCTTCCTGTTTTTTGATGCTATCATAAATGGATTATTTCCTTACAAAATTATTATTAATGATGAATTATGTATTTTTCCTTTCATTTCTGCCAGCTTTTGCTCTACATATTTTGGAGGTACATTCTTTGTTTTTGTTTTTTTAATTTTTTAGTTGTAGATGGACACAATATCTTTATTTATTTATTTTACATGGTGCTGAGGATCGAACCCAGTGCCTCACACATTCAAGTCAAGCACTCAACCACTGAGCTACGACCCCAGTCCCTGGAGGTCAAGTTCTTATACAACTTTTATAATGGTTATATTTTCTAGATGTGTTAACCCTTATCAAAATGTTTCCAGTAGTAATTCCTTATTTTGTCTGACATTACTATTAAGTTAAGTTGGAAGAAAATGTCTGAGAAGCACCTTCTGTGTCAGGATTCTTGGTGTGATTATACTTGGTTTTAGCCCCTTACTTTGTAAAACAAAATAGGGAAAGCATTTTCTCATTTGTTTGGATTCACCTATAAAATGACTGGACCTTGCGTCTTGGGACAGTGATGTGTTGTACACTTTTTTAGTATAGATTATGTATGTGTGTGCATATAATATCATATGATGTCAACCTTATTGATTTTGTGGTATTCAATCCTTTTCAGGCTCATGCATTAATGTTTGAACGTGCCTTTGCTAACTTCCTTAAATAGTTCCATGAAATTTTGTTTTATGTGGTTAAATGTACACAAGTTTGTGACTATGTCTTCTTAGTAGACAGTTCCTTTTATGATTATGACATATTTATTCCCATCAATCCTTCCTGCCTTACATTTTTATATTAGATAAGCAATCTTTTGATTAATATTTTATTGATACATAGCTCTTTTCAAAATTCTTTCCCCAAACTCTTAAAATGTTTTAATCGTATATTTTGCAAAGAGCACATAGCTATTTAAAAAAAAAAATCTAATTTGAATTTTTTTTTCTTTATTTGTACTAGGGATTGAACTCAAGGGTACTCAACCGATGAGCCACATCCCCAGCCCTATTTTCTATTTTTATTTGGAGAGAGGGTCTCACTGAGTTGCTAAACACAGCTCCATTGCTGAACTGGCTTTGAAACTGCGATATTCCTGCTTCAGCCTCCCAAGCTACTGGGGATTACAGGCTTGTGTAACCGAGCCTGGTGTGTTTCTTGTTGTTGTTGTTTTTTAAATACAGTTCTAATCCATTTACATTTACTGTGATAAATTAACTGCCTTTTTTTTTCCTTGCCTACTAATCCATTTACTAAGTTTTCTCTAGTTTTTTTTTTCCCTTTTATAGGTTTCGAAGTTACACATTTTACTCTCTTATTTCTGTATCTTTAAATGTTTTACATGCACATTAGAAAATTGTTGTATTCAAGGCTCTCTAATCTTTTAAATAGCCTTTCTATCATAGGATGATTCACTAATTATAGATCCTACCTCCTTGGTACAGAAGTCAGAAGTGAAATTCCCTGCTTCTCTTGCGGCTAGGATGTAGGCCTGTGATTCACGCTCTTCTAACTAGAAGTACCCACTGAAATGTGATCCTGATGCTGACGTTAGGAGCAAATGAAGAAAAGCGGAACCCCTGACATTTGGTGCTTGGTGGGTACAGCAGCAGTTTATCAGACCAGTTCTTACACAGTTTGTGGCACTTTCTCAAGCTTAGCCTAAGCTGTTTTTTTTTAGTTTTCCCAATGATTCTGCAAGCTGTTATCATTTTAAGAAATTCCTGCATGGATTCTTAACAAATATAATGGCTTGTCAAAAATCTAAAGTCAGAATATTTCACTTCATCTGAATAAAAGTTTAAAATACTTTAATTCTGAACTGCCTCTTACCCAAATCTACTATATTTCAAAGGCTCATATTTTAATTTCACCTAGTTTTAAAATTCCAAAATGCTATCACTTAAATACTACTGATTTACATTGACCAAGATATTTCCTAAATCATCTGTTTATCCTTTTCCCAACTTACTTCTTTCTTCTAGACTTAGCTTTTCTCTGTTGGAGTATATTCTTTAAGACTTTCTTTGATGAGCATTTTTGAGTCTAAATTATGAAAACATGCTTAATTTGTCTTTTCCCATGAAAGACTGTTTAGCTAGTTATAGAATTCTAGTTTCTCAGGTAAGTCTCTCAATACTTCAGGGATAGTTTTCATCACCTTTTGTCATCAAATGTTGCTGATAAATCTGCTGACCAGATGACTGTTATTCTTTTTAGGGGAATCTGACTTTTCTTAGTGGTAACCTTTAATATTTTCTTAGTGTATTTGACATGTTCTAACTTCACTACTATCTGCAGTGCTTTTTAAAAATTTATTCCTATTGAGACTTAGTTTAACTACCTTTTATCTGATAACTCATATTTTTCAAGTCTGAAAAATTTACAGAATTATCTATATGGATATTGCCTCTCCTTCATTCACTATATTCTCTCCTCCATAAACTCTTTAGATATATGCTGTGTCTTCTAATGATATCCTTTAAGATCTCTGAACTCAGCCTTGCTGCTCTGGCAGTCAACTGTATGAATTTTTTTTTGTATTTTAGGCTCTTCATAAAAATCATTTTTATAAGAAAGGGATTATCTGGCTCAAAACCCCTCAACAGTTGTTCTGTCTTTTACCATGTAAGTTGTTCTTTTGGCTGTCAAGTACCTCATGCATCAAGGCCCTGCCATTTATTAGCTGGATAATCCTGGGCTAACTTAAATTCTTTGGGCCCCATTTTCCCAACATAGAGAGATTAATATCAAATTTACATGAAGTAAAGCATACAAGGTACAGATTAAGTGTCCAACATCTGTTAGTGCAGTAAATAAAATTTGGTGTGTTTGCGTATCTCACAGAAATTCCCTGGTGGTCACATCTGTATTTGTCATTCATTTCAGTTATGAATTCTGAAAGAAGGCTACCATTACTTCCAAGATCTGGCACACGGATCTAGATCAACCAATCAGCTACTTGTTGAGACTTGATAGGAATACTGGCTCTTTTATGACTTCAGACTATTTAATGTATGAGCAGAGTTGCTGTTTTTTAGTATAGGAGAATAAAAGTGACATGTAGAAAAAAGGGAGAGATAAAGGAGAAAAAAAATTAGTGACATCATTTAAATACCTAGCACCATTGACTTCCATGATGTTGCACTTTGCAGTAATGTAGATTCCTTTAATACTTAGATATGTTATAATAAGCAGGAATAATCTAATAATAAAAAATTACCAGAATTTGAACATGAATCTTATTTCATTTTATTGCTCAATTATATAGGTTTTTTTATTTCTATTTTCCAGAGTAGTTGTTACCCTCCTACCAGCCATAGAAATATAGTTGCTGCAATACTAATATGAAATTTGAACAGTCCCTCAGAGTTACCAGTCTTACATATCATTATCTTGATTGTGTGAGATGAGTAGGCCAGGTAATAAGCTTAATTCTTGACAAATGGTGACTCTGAAACACAGAGAAGTTAAACAGATGAAGGGTGAAAACCCAGTTAGATCTAAAGCATCCTCATCCTCTGTCAGGACAGCTCATAACTACCATGATGTAGAGATAGTGCACATTTTCATTAATTACTGTTAATTAGAAATTTTCAGAAGAGTACTGAAAAGTTTCATTAGCTCAATCACAAAACCTATTAAAATGTATATTCAGTCTATAATTTAAATTTATACTCTCAAAAACCCTTGTGTTCCTAAAAGTCAATCTTTGCCATGCTCCTAATCAAGCTCCTGTTGCACTTTCAAATTCTGGAACTTTAACCCAGAGAATACTGGAGTTGGGGGTGTGTTTATGTATGAATTCCTGGCTCAACATCCAATGTCTAAGCATATGTATAATTGTGGGTGAATTCTTACACCTTCTAAGGTAGAATTCTATTGGATACAGCACATGGGTAATTATTTACAAAAGTGACTTGTAATCACAAACTACTCTAGTAATATTGTTACAATGCTTTTGTTTTGGAGAACACAAATGCCTTCACAACAATAATCCATTCACCTTCACTGAATTGATAAGTAGAGGTTGGGTGACAAGTAGTATTTTATCTGCCAGAATTGGCAAAGTAAAGGAGAAAGGAGTTAGGTATTTAAGAGAAAGCAAGAGCCATTTGACTTTCTTTTTAGCCTCATCATAACGGTAACATTGCAGTTAAGAGAATTCCTCCATTTTAATTAGGAAATATCTATGATGAAGAATGTAATTTTAGAAAAATTGTTTCAACAGAGTCATGACATGGATATATCAAAGAATAATGAAAGGATTGTACTACTAATCATTGGTGCTTTTAATAGTGTACTCTAATATTTTCAATTTTTATGGGGGTAAAGTTTATTTTTAAGTGCAGCATTACAATAAACTGACAGTCCTGGTATAGGTCCTCATTTCTCTAGATTGCCATTAGGCTCAAATCGATCCTCTAAATAAAGTCTGTCCCAAGAGACACAAGTGATGTAGGGAAAAAGGGGAGTTTTAGAAACCAAGCCTGACGTCACACTTTTGTGTTCTAACCATCTGTACCTTTTTAAACTAGGGGCTGGAGCCGCTCAGGCGGAGAGACACAGGCGCACAACAATCTTCTCCCACACAAGCCTGGAATGGCAACTGTGTGGCTGCCTAAGAAAGAAAAGCCGTTTCAGAGCTGTGGGGTGGCGTGGGGGTGTGTGTGGCAGGGTAAGAGAGTCATTCCTCTTCTCCATCCAAGGATGCTATTTATTGGAAATCCTGCCCATCTCCCCACCACCACCACCCTTTAAATTGATTTCTCTCGAGTAGGAGGCAAAACCGTTTTGATGTGAAAGAAGAAAGGAAAAAATATGCAAGACTGGCAGGGAAGCTTTGAGGAGGAGAATCACAAGCAGCATTGCTTTGGATATTGGGTCTGCGGGCAGAAAAAGGGTTCCGGCGTCCACAACCTGTTCGGCTTTAAAGACGACGCCCTTCCGTTCAGCGTGCTAACCCCCTCCCCTCACTCGCTCCGTCCACCGCCGCTGAGAGGGTAGCAGCCACCCTGTGGCCACCTCTCCCCCCACTCCCTTGGCCCCTTCATCTTCCACAAACTCAAAAGGCGCATTCTCACTGTCCTTCTACATGCGAGCCCGGCTCACCCCTCTCCCCTCGCAGCTTCCCCCAGGTGCCCATCTCTCACACGGCCCCTCACCAGGATCCTCAATCCTCCCCAGGTCTAGGGAAGCGTCTCCACTCAGGTTCCACGTGCAAATCCTAGGTTGTTACCCTGCTTTTTAGTTTCCCCCACCTCCAGCCACGGGCTCCGCCCACCCTGCCTGGGGCGCGCGCCCAGACGCCGGGACACCTGGCCGCCCCTCCCCCGGCCCCGCTATCCTCCCGACTCCCCCGCCCCTTGCACCGCAGCTCGGCGCCCACCCCTCGCTGCTTCCTCCTCTTCACCCCCTCCCTTCGCAGGAGGCGAGGACTGGGGAAGGGGGGAGGCAGAGGGAGCGCGGCGGCGTGGCCAATGGGCGCACGGCTTACTCTGGCCTCTCCCCCGCGTGGCCGCCAATCGCGGCGGGCGGTGGTGGTAATATTGTGGAGTGGAGTTTGGATGCCGCCGCTGCCGCGGGCTGGAGCGGCGCGGCGGCGGGGGCTGCCAGGGTATTTCGGGAAGGGGGCGTGAGGAGGCGGTGGCGGCAGTGGCGGGGACTGCGTGTGGAGGCAGCCCAAGGAGAGAGAAAGAAAGGAAGGAAGAGGGCGGGGAGTGATTTGAGGAGGAGGCGGGACGGCCAAGCTCCTCACCTCTCGGCGGCGGCGGGTGTCCGGGGAGGCGGTGCCGCCCCCTGCCCGCGGTCTCTTCAGCGCAACCGGTCCCCGACCCGCTGGCATCGGGCAGCGGCCGAAGCTACTGGGGCGGGAGCAGTGGGCCGGGCGGAGGCGACCGCCATGGCGTTTCTCAAACTCCGCGACCAGGTAGGTGAGGGGCGGCAGGGCGGGATCGCGCCGCTTGGGGAGGAAGGGAAAGAGGCGGGCCAGAGGTGTGGGCCGCCAGGGCGCCCGCTCGGCAGTGTTGCTGCGAGGGAAGCCGGGTCCTGGGCCGGGGAAGGGCGCGAGGCTGCGGGCTGGGTCCGCGAGCGACTTGCTTGTCAGGGTAGCTCGGGCCCGGGTAAGCCCACGTGCCGCCCAGGGTCTTGCCGCCGGGAGAGAGAGGCGGGTTCCGCGCTCGCCGCCCTCGCGTCGGGCTCGCTGCCGGGTAGTCGCCTCCTCTTGCCTGCCAGGTGAGGCTCGGGCCTAACAGGTGGCTTTCCCCTGCCAGGCTGTAGCTGTGCTGGCGCCGTGACCTGGGGTCACGACCTTGCTCTCCTGTTTGCTTCGTGGTATAGTTGGAGATATTTACTCTCTCCGGGAAAGAAAAAAATAAAAACTGGTTGATTCAGCTAGGGACTAGTTGGTGTGTAAGTCCCCAGACTTGTTTTCTTTTGACATTTTGTGCACCATCTTGGTTACTTTTCTTGACTTAGGAAGAGCTGATCTAATACCCGAAGTGCTAGAGACACTTGGGGACTGAAAAGTACTTTGTGTCTAGGAATGAAATCGCAACTATACCTGAAAGATTAGTACACCTAAAAACCTGGGAAGAGATGCAGACGTTTTCTGATATTTGTATCTGTCTTTTAAGGAAATGAAAAATTAACACGTGAAATTTACTGAGTCGCGGGAACTTAATGATGCTGAAAACTTATTTTTGCTATTTGTTTTTCTGAACAGAAGATATTGAACAGATTTGAAGGGAAAGTAACTTGCATACGTTGGGAAACTGTTCTGAAAGTGAGTACCCCTTTTTACAGAAACAATGGGGTCTCTTAGCAAATAGCATACCTTAAATTATGAATACAGTTAATACCATGACTTCTCACTTCCAAAGTGACTTTATCTTTAGAGTAATGATTGGCCCTGTGTATCATTTCGTATCAGGAGAGCTTTAGCTGGTGTTAATAACATCAGGGCAAGATGTTTTGAAAAACTGTTTAAAATTTATACTTTGTGTTTCAAGTTAGATATTAAAAGTCACTGTCCAGTATGTTAACCACTAACAACATGTGGCAACTTAAATTAAACTAAAATAAACTGAGTTCCATAGTTATACTATTCATATCTCAAAAGCTCAACCATAATAGCTATTGATTATTGTATTGAACAGGCAGGTAAAGAACACTTAGGGTGTTTCACAAAGTTTTATTATTTACCTGTTAATAACAGGTAAAGCACAGTTAAAGTATAAACCTTATCTAATTCCCCTACAGTCAGTGCGCATTATACTCTTAACAGAATGAAACTCAAAGTGTAGGTTTTCTACTAACTTTTATCAATTTAGTGGGATTTTTGTGCTTTCATTTCTATTTCTAGTCCTTTGCTTTTGAAAGAGTTATTTTTGTGCTGTAGATTATTGTGTGCACTAGGAATGCAGTGGACTTTTAGGAGGACATCCTCTTTTATTTGCCATAAGATTTAAGCAGAAACAGGATTTCAGTTGGAAATGAAGTTGCATCTTTGCACTTGAGTATTTAGAAATTACAATTATAGAGCAGTTGTGATACTACTCCAGTTTTACATGATGTCCACTTACAGTGGTAATACTGTTCTTTAAAATATAATCTGTAAATTTGAGAATACTTGGACAAGTTAATTAAATGGGATGACTGAGAGAAAATAAGAGGTTCATCTCTATCCTATCTGGTTTCTCTTTTGAAAGATTTTGAGAAATGAGTTTGTTTTGCCTGGTTTAAAGGGAATAGCTGTTTCTAGCAATATCTTATATGTTGATATTTTATTAACTGTTAGAAGTGAGAATAAAAATGAAATGGAATGCAAATACTCTTAACTTTTCCCATCTGCAGGAAAAGCAGTTCAGCTAGATGAATTACTTTATTTGGAGGAAAGGAGGAGAAGATCTGGATAAGTACACAGAATTTTAAACGTGGAAGGTACTTGATACAGCTTCTATCTCAAAAGCCTTATATACACTTGAGATAGGAAGTAGTAGAATCTGCTTTTCTAGGTCTGTTTTATTATTCACCTTGTATTTTGTTTTCTTTTGGCTTGTAAAACATTGTTTAATACATAGAAGCTGCAAGTGGGGAAGAGTTTTCTTTGTGCAAGGAAGCCTTAGTTCTTAAATATGAAACAAATGAATAAATAAAGGAGTTCTCCTGTCCATTCAATTTGAATTAAAACAATATTCTCTCATTTTATGCTGACACATAATGGGTATAAGAAGTAATTACTGTCCTACTTTCTGTTTACCTGTAGATGGAAATAATTTTTAATTGTAAATAAAATGAAAATAATTTGTTTTCTGTCTATAGGAGTTAGGCACATGATTTTTTTTCCCCTGAATTATTTCACTTTGGTTTATACAACATGAATTAAGATTCAAATTGTAGGGTGTTGTTTCATTAGGTGTCACTGTCATAATTTTTATTTTTTCAATTAGTAAAAAATAATCATACATGATTACATTGAAATTTTCAGCAGTAATAAGAACAGTAGAAGGTTTTTGTTTAGATTAGGGATTACAAACTCCCAAACTGGGAAACTAAATGACAGCTAACACTTGGCTTTATTTAGTATTTAGAAGAAAATGATGAATGGTAGAGATGATGACCATGGGGATCAAGTATGTTAGTTGCTGCTCTGCTCCAGGCCTTTGTTGCTCTGCAGGTGTAATAGTAGTTTTAGAATACAAATTTTTTAAGAAGCCAGTAATCCAAATTGTTATGCAAAATCTGTAAATGTTGGCAAGTTGATAACCACCAATGGCAGTCAATTCTGTGATTCTAAAAAGGGGCCAGTAAGAACTAGTTTGTAACTGCTAATTTAGATCAGTTGGAGAAAACAAACTACAAAATAAGATTCCTATTAAAAACAGTTTTCAGGGCTGGGGAATGTAGCTCAGTGGTAAGAGTACTTGCCTAGGATGCACGAGACATTGGGTTCAATCCCAGCACCAAAAAAATTAAAAACAGTTTAAAATAGGAAGCCAAGCATGGTGGTGTCCTCCTATAATCCCAGTGGTTCAGAGGGCTGAAGAAGGAGTTTCACAAATTCAAAATCAGTCTCAGCAATTTAGCGAGGCCCTAAGCAACTTAGCAAGAACCTGTTTCTAAAAATAACTAGTCAGTCAAGGTGGCATACAACTGTAATCCCAGTAGCAGCTCCAGAGGCTGATGCAGGAGGATCAGGAGTTCAAAGCCAGCCTCAGCAAGGGTGAGGCACTAAACAACTCAGTGAAACCCTGTCTCTAAATAAAATACAAAATAGGGCTGGGGATGTGGCTCCGTGGTTGAGTGCCCCTGAGTTCAATCCCTGGAACCCCCCCAAAAAATATAAAATTGCAAAATGATCATAAATTTTTTTTCCCTTCTTTGTAATGCCTGTGATTGAACCCAGGACTTTGTGCATGCTAAGCAAGTGTTCTACCACTGAGCTACACCCCCCAGCCCCATTCATAAACTTTTGTATCATATTTGAAGAGTTCTTTTAAAAAAATTCATGTATATGTCTTTTTACTTACAGCATATATGTGTAATCTTAGTATTTATTTCTGTTTTCACAGTTTGTTTTAAAACTGGAGTTAAACTTTGTTTGTAGTAGTACTAAAGGATTATAGCTTTTTTTTTAATATTTATTTTTTTTTTTAGTTTTCGGCGGACACAACATCTTCGTTTGTATGTGGTGCTCAGGATCAAACCCAGGCCGCACGCATGCCAGGCGAGCACGCTACCGCTTGGGCCACATCCCCAGCCCGCTTTTTTTTTTTTTTTTTTAAGGGGGGGAGGAGAGAATTTTTTTAATATTTATTTTTTTCAGTTTTCGGTGGACACAACATCTTTATTTTATTTTATGTGGTGCTGAGGATTGAACCCAGCGCCCCGCGCATGCCAGGCGAGCGCGTTACCGCTTGAGCCACATCCTCAGCCCCTATAGCTTTTTTTTTTTTTTTGGATTCTTTTTTTTGCTCATTTGTATATAGTAAGTAGGTTTCTTGAAGTGTTGTTTTTCCCCATTAAAATTTTTTTGATTGCTACATAAAGTACATGTTTATGGAGATACAGTGTGACATTTCGGTGTATAGTACAATGTATAATGATTACGTCAGGGTGGTTGTGTAGCATTCATTCACCTTAAATATTTATCATTTCCTTGTGTTGGGAACATTCAGAATCCTCTCTCTTATTGGTTGTAGAAATATAGAGTTGTATATTTCATTTTGCTATAGAAACATAGAAATATTTTTCTATAGCAAAATAGAAATAGATTTA